TTCTTGCTTGTTCATTTTTGTAATTTTTGTCTTTCATTTAAGTATTCCATAATTAATCTATATATGATAAGTTCAATATCTCAAGGCTTTGGGGGTTTAAATCTATTGCTTCTTATATCTGTTGACTTTCATTCATGGTGATTTGCTTCCTTGTGTGTTTAACAATCTTTTACTGTTCACTCACCTTTGGTTGGTCTTAATCTCTGAAAATTTTAGGTGCTTTCTTAAGGGAGAATTTGAATTTTTATTTGTTAGGAGCATGGGATCTTACCAACTAGGGGCCCCTTCTAGGATACCAACTTAATTCAAGAGTCTCAGGTTCAGTTCTCCCCACCTTGCCATTGGCCCAAGTATACTCTTCCATTACAATGCTAATATAAATATTTGCCCCTGAGTAATCTCACATTTCATGAGTGCTAAGTTCTGTGGAGTCACTGTACTTTCTAATTTGTTTAGTTTCTGGCCCCTTAAAAATTTCCCCCAGCTTCCCTCTTCCTCTCGGTCCCATACTGAACTTGAGTTGGAAGAGGTGAGTCTGGTCTCAAAATAAAGGTAAAACCATTGCTGTGTGTCCCCAGCCCAACTCTGGCTGCTGCCTCCACTGCTGGGGGATAAGGGCCATGATCCAAGGGAATCAGAACAGTTAAGTAAACTGTTTATTGGTTGAGCTTTGAAACTACAGAAGATAATTGAAGAGAATATTTTAAGAAACGGGGCACGCTCACAGATCGTGTGGCAATGAGAGACTCCCAAACAAAATGTTCCAGGACGTTTGGTTTTCTGACTTACTCTTATGCTGAAGAAGTGGATGCAGCAATATGTGTTCCACCACACAAGGTTGATGAGTGTGTAGTGGAACCAAAGAGAGCTGTTTCTAGAGAGGATCTTATAAAGCCTGGTGTTCATCTAACAGTGAAGAAAATCTTTGTTGGTGGCACTAAAGAAGATACAGAAGAACATAATTTGAGAGACTACTTCGAAAAGTAGGGCAAGATTGAAACCACTGAAATTATGAAAGACAGGCAGAGTGGAAAAAAGAGAGGATTTGCTTTTGTAACTTCTGACGACCATGATACAGTTGATAAAATTGTTCAGAAATACCATACTACTAATGGGCATAATTGTGAAGTGAAAAAGTCCCTTCTCAACAAGAGATGTAGTCTGCTGGATTGCAAAGAGGTTGTGGAGGTAGATCTGGCAACTTTATGGGTCTTGGAGGAAACTTTGGAGGTAGTGGAGGTAATTTTGGCCATGGTGGAAACTTCGGTGGAAGAGGACGCTATGGTGATGGAGGTGTTGGCATCCAACAGGTTGGCATCCAGAGGTGGTTATGGAGGAGGCAGTAGTGGCAACTATGATGGTGGTCCTGGTTATGGTAATTGAGGGGGCAATGGGGATGGTGGACCAGGATATGGAAACTAAGGTGGTGGATATGGTGGCAGTGGTGGAGGATATGATGGTTACAGTGAAGAAGGAAATTTTGGAGGTGGTAGCTATGGTGGCGATGGAAACTATAATGATTTTGGAAATTATAGTGGACAATAGCAATCAAATTATGGACCCATGAAAGGGGGAAGTTTTGGTGGAAGCAGCTCAGGCAGTCCCTATGGTAGTGGGTACAGATGTGGTGGTGGAAGTAGTGGATATGGTAGCAGAAGGTTCTAAAAACAGAAAAAAGCAACGGTTCTTAGCACGGCAGTGAGCAAGGAGTTGTCAGGAAAACTGCAAATTATTTTAAGGCAATTGTCCCAAATGCAGTAGAGGAACTGTAAAAGTCTACCACAGAAGGAACAATAATCCATAGTCAGAAAAAGTTACTGCAGTTTAAACAGGAAACCTTTCTCATTCAAGACTGTCATAGGCACAGTTTGCAAAAAGACAGCTACTGATTAATGCAATATGGTGTCAATTAATAGCTATATATTCCTGAGGTCTTTTATATGTTGTAGCTTTTCCTTTCCTTTTACTTTTTATTACATCAGATATATTGCCCTGTAAATGGTGGTAATGGTACCAGGAATACAAAATTAAGAAACATTTAACTCTTCAAAAAAAAATTTCCCCCATCTCTTGAAGGTCAACAATGCAAAACAAATGTAGTTTAAGCAGGACCTAGTTAATTTGAAACAGGAGGACCTCTTAGGCATCTAATCGCAAGTATCTAGTCTTGAGTATTTAGCAGAAAGTCTACATATCAGTCACTTTTCATTTATTGCAGTCTAGCTTTAACCTTTAAACTACAGGTCTGAAACTATTTACGCCAAGTGGATCAATGATTGACAAATTTAATGTGCACTTTTAATTCCTTTTCACATGTCACACCCCCCACCCCAAGTCCTGGATGCTCCCTCTTTCTTGCAACCCTCTTCTTCTTTTGATTGTGTGATACCATTATCTCTTATTTTTCCTCCTACCTCACTGGCTATGCCTTGTTAGCTTTCTTGGCGAGGTCCTTTTAACCTGTCTTCACATACTGATGTCCTCAGAAATCTATCTGCAACTTTCTTCTTCACCTTCTACTCTATACGGTCTCCCAAAATAATCTCGTCCACTGTCATGGCTCAGTAGCCTGAATTACTCCTTGTGTTGTGCGCTTCCAAGCTCTTATACATGCTTCACCCTCTGATTGGACTGTGTCCTTTCATCCTTTTAAAAACCAGATTAACCTTTCTAACAATGAACTTAGGCACATTTTCCTCCAAGATACCTTTGCTGGCAACCCCTAATCTGGGTGAGATGACTCTCGTACATACTTCCAGAGCACCTTGCATCTGCTTCTGTCATCACACTTTGTGCAGTGTATTGTAATAATCTGTTTACTTGTATGTCTTCCTGACATAGTTACGCTGTATCCCCAGTGTCTAGCACATGGCCTGGTCCCTGGTGGGTAAGCAAATGCTTGTCGAATAAATTAAAGAACACCTGAATGAATAAATGAATGAATGGATGAGTGATGATAACGTTAGAGTGGACAAGTTGGGGTTTAGAAAGAGGGTGAAGGATGGTGAAAGGTGAGGAGAAGAGAAAAAGGAAATGACTGGTATGTTTAAGCTGTTCGTTTTGTTCTCCTCGCTTAAATAGAATAAAGTTGTCATTTCATTTCATCAAAACTTTATTGAGCATCCAGTATGTGCTAGGCACTCTGCTGGATGCTCGTAATACAAAGATGAAGATCAAAACAAGACAAAACAAAAACAAAAAAACCACTTCCTTACTTACCACCCCAATTTAAGGCAGATTTGGCTTGAGCCTGGGAAGCCGGCCCCTCAGGGATTCAGCACCAGGGTATGGCACACTCTAACCTCACCCTAACCTTCACCTGTGCGTCTCACGGCTGACCAGCAGGTACCCCTTCTCCAAGTCCTGCATCTTCCACCTGCCTGAGCAACTTTCCTCTACACGCGGGATCTCATTGTGGATGAGGCACCTGGGAAAGTCGGGGGAGCTGCGGTGTCATGCCTTCTCTAGGGAGCCTGGGGAGTGCGTAGGGACAGGGAGCTCAGAGGGGCATGCTGATGGGGCGAGGGCAGAGGAGGCAAACTAGAAATGTTGGTGCCCTTGGGGCTGGGACAAAACTTGCCTAAGTGTGGAGGTGGTAGGTAACAGGGGCCTGGGGAGTGGCTCCATGGGATGGTGGAGTCAGAACTGGAGCTTAGGTGGCCAGGGAGGGGCCAGGGATGCCAGGACCCTTGGACGCACTAGGGGAGAGAAGATGGCACACACAGAGGGCCTCCTTCTCGTTCAGCTTTTGAATTGCCCTCTCACCTCACACAGTAGATTATTGCCTCTCCTGTGAACTGTGCAAGAGGCGGTGGCATGGGCATGGCCTGGCTACACAGTGGCCCAGGCTCTCCTCATTCCGATGTTAGTGTGATTTGGGAGTCTGCCCTTGTCATGCGTCAGGGGATCGGAGCATCTGGGAGCAGAGCGAATGGTGGGAGTGGGGGCAGAGGACAACGGTTGGATCCTGTGCCCCGACAGTCTGGGAAGCAATAAACTTCCTCCTCCCCATACCATTTCTCTGGAGATTAGAACCCTATTCTCTTACAACTGAAGGAAGCTCAACAACCTTCCGGAGGGTAATGATTGTTTGAAAGGCTTGTTTTGTGAGGAAGCCAAGGAGAAGGTATGAGTTCGAGGGCTTAAAAACAATTCCTCCCTTGATCTGGGCCAGAGGAATGAGTAGGAATCTACTTCTCTGTAGGAATGAGCCGATGCCTCTCTTCTGCTCAAGAAGAGAGACAGAAGGAATGCTTGGCACGGCACGCGCTGCGGGAGGCTTTGGGAGGAGGCAGGCGCTTCGGGAGGCAGGAGGCGCGCGGCAGGAGTCCTTTGCCCCTGCTCCGGCCCAGCGGGCAAAGGAGAGTGCTTGTCCTCCCTCACCGACCGGTAGGTACCCAGGTACCGGGTGCCCACGGAAGGTGCTCCAAGGCACTGTCTTTGCAGTGATTCCCCGGGTGCTCAGAACAGTCCCTGCACACCCAGGACCGGCACCTGACCGCTTCGTTTAGTACAGCTGTGCGTTTTGGGAAAGTGGCCTTTCCAATCTGGGCTTGCCAAAACAGTACTCCGGGACTCAGACGTTCTTTCGGAGGGAAAGGCAGCGGGTGGGAAATATAAGAGCTCCCTGGGAAGAGCACAGGGTAGTCACGGGGAGTTAGGTAACTGATGTTAGTTTCCATAAAAGTCCTTTTGGGGATTGGGATGAAAATTTAATAATCTATGTGGTCCTAAGAGGGCACACCCCATACCTGCTGAGAACACAGAAAACCCGTAGCACACGCCAGCGGGTTCACCACCAGATCAACGCTCGGCAGTCCGCGCTGCAACTCCCCCACCCCCATCTGCGCATGCTCACACACGTCCACCCGAGACACCCGCGACCCCGCCGGGGACGTCCCCTCGCCCAGCTCTTGCCGCGCCCCGGGGAGGCTCCCCGGCCCTCCCCCCGGCCGCCGCGGCCACCGAGCGCTGGCGCCTCGCGGGCGTCCCAGGGCGGCTCAGGCGCTGATCTCCACTGGGCCGGTCTCCTCTTGCTCGCGGATCATGTGCACACCCGCAGTCCGCAGTGTGCGCGAGGCGCTGCGCGAGCGGCCGGGCGAGCTCGGGGCCCTAGGCGGCGACGTGTGCGTCCGGCCGGTGGCCGGGGAGCGCGCTGGGGAGCGCGGGTAGCGGCGGGCCGAGCGGATGGGCAGCCCGGGCGAGCGGCCCGGCACGGTGGGCGACACGGAGTAGCCGGGCGGGCCGGGCTCTGTCGCGCTCCGAGGCTCCGGGACGGGGTTCTCCTCGGGCTCTGGGGAGTCCTGCAAGGACAGCGCGGCGGGGATCAGCGGGCAGCCGGCCCGGGTCTGGGAGCGTGCCTGTATTAGAGGGCGCTGGGAGTACCCAGGTGAGGGAGGCCCAGTTCCCTCCGCACTGCCACCTCCTGGAGGTGGTTTTTCTTGCAGTACACCACACTTAGCGTGGTGCCTGACACATGATAGATGCTCAGTAAATGTCGAAATGCGTTAACTTGAGTGCTTCGTCCCTTTATTCTCCTCTTTCCACCTGCCTAAGACAGAGGTAGTTTGGAATAGTGGGGAAATCACCAGAACTGGCGTCCAAAAACCTAGGTTCATCCACTTGTTTAAACCTGGGCAAATCATTTAATCTCCCAGCCTTATTTTTTCTAATCTCGAAAATGGGGGCAACACAAATATTTCACAGGGTTATTCTGAGTCCTATAAAGTGGTAGCAGTTTGGCATGGCTCCCTAGTGCCAGGCACATGGTAGGGGCTCACTGCATACTGGTGGGGTGCCCAGCCCAGAGCTGCTCACCTTGTCCTTCAGGATGTAGAGTGCCATGGGGTTCTTGCGCTCCTGCTCTCCACTTCGTGGGAGGGTGTCTGCTGCACAGGGGAAAGAATGGGATGGCTGGTCCAGGTGCAGACTCTCTCCACCAGCCGGCACCTATGCTCTTTACTACCCACCTGGCCCATCACAACCTCCACCAACATATCTGACTACTCCCAGTCCTACCTTGGCCGCACCTCTCCCTGCTCTGCAGTCTTCGTGCAATTGGTGGAGGAAGGGACCCTGCAGAGCTGGTTTCCTTGTTGCCCAGTTTTGCCTTTTCCCAGCATCCCACCGATATGAGTGGCGATGGGATGGGTGAGTGGGTGGCTGGGAACTCACCTTCTTGTTTGAGGCGATCATCACTCTGATCCATGTATTCCAGGGAGTTTTGCTTCTCCAACTTCCTCTGCTTCCTGCAAATTAATCCAGCCCCCTCCCTCAGCAGGATGTGAGCGGGAGAAGATCCAGGGGGAACACAGGGAGGGATCCGAAGGCCATAAAAGAGGCCTTTTGTGTGGGTGTGGTTGGGAGCAGGAGGTAGTCCCTGAGCTGTGGAATGAGTCACATCTAGGCTGGCACTCTACGTCTGTGACTAGCATCGTGACTGTGGGCAAGTCACAAATCCAAGTCTCGTTATCATTATCTGTAAAACACAGATAGTCATACTTAAAAGGTAGTGTGCTAAGCACATTCACAGTGCCTGGCCCAGAAAAGGTGCTCAGCAAGTGAAACCATTGTTAATTGTGCTGGGGTTGTCGGGTGTTGTGAGCACAGGATGCTGTTCCATACACAATGGAAAAATGGATCTCCTGGGAAGAGGTGCAGAGCCCAGGGAGGAAAGGCATCTAAAGAGACTTAAGAAAAGAACAGAGCTTGGGGGTTAGGACAGATTGAAGGATTAGGGTGCTCAAGGTGTGGAACTTGGAAAGTTACCTAGACTTTTTGGAGGGTTTCCAGCAGGCACAGACTGTCACCAAGGTCACAAGGAGGAAGATGCCTCCTGTAGACAAGATGATGTAAAGAGAGCTTCTTCCTAGGGAGAGAGAGAAGCAGAGAGGTGGGAAAGTCTTCAGAGAGGGGGGCAACAGGTGTGGTGAGCAGGGGTCTCTGTGGTGGCAGGGGGAGAAAAGAAGGCCTGGGCAGCCTGGCTGGCGATGGTGGAGCTTGCACAGAGCCCACTTGCCCACCTGTTGCTGTCCTCCATGGGTAGCTGGCCCATCTGTGCACCCCCTCTAGTGACACTCTCTCTGGGATGGCCTCAATCCCTCATGGGCACCTGCCCCTCAGGGTTTGGAGTGCTAAAGGAGGGAAGGCAGGGAGACTCACTGTACACGGTGATCTTGACGGGTAGGCTGCGGCCCTGGCTAATGGGGTTCTCCACCACACAGCTGTACAGGTCGTCGTCCTCCATGAGCACACGCGTGATGGTGAGCACCTTTTGATCGGAGGACAGGAGCATTCGCGAGTCATTGAGGAGGGGCTTGCCATCCTTCAGCCAGGTGTAGCTGGGCTTGGTGCCATTGTCATGCGAGCAGTTCAGGGTGAAGGCCTCACTGAGCTCCAGGACAGTGGTCGAAGCCACTAACACCTGCGGCCTCGAAATGGGCACTGAGACCCAGGGTGGGGGAGCCGGTGAGTCATCGGCTAAAAACTTTCTCCCTTCCCCTGTTCTCGCCCTACCTTGCAACACACCTTCGACACCACCTTTCAATTCAGTCTGTGGGCTGAGAAGACCCTTCAGGGATCCTCTGTCCAGCCCTTCCCCATCACTTACTCATTCACTCATTCACCGTTTATTGAGTGCCAACTAGGCACAGGGGCTATAATGCCCAACAAGACAGCAGTGGCGTCTGCCCTCATTCTCTTCTTCCCAAATGCCTTTCCAAGACCACTAGGCTTTAATGTCTTAAACTGATCCAGGTTGGATGATATTTTAGTTGGGCTAAGCCAACATCCAACTGTCTTGGTTCAAATCTTGGTTTTATTACTTACTAGCTGTGTGATCTTAGGCACATTACTCAGTCTCTCTGTGCCTCACTTTCCTCATCTTCAAAATGGGAACAGTGACATTAACTATCCCTAGATTATTATAAGCATTAAATGAGTCGACATTTGCAAAGCACTTAAAATAGTTTCTGGCATGTGGTAAGCACTCTATACATGTTAGCTGTGCCTATCCGCCAGCTTCTTTTTTTTGTTTTTGTTTTGTTTGGGGGTTTTTGTTTGTTTTGAGACAGGGTTTCATTCTGTTTCCCGAGCTAGAGTGCAGTAGCATCATCATAGCTCACAGCAACCTCAAACTCCTGGGCTTCAGCAATCCTCCTGCATCAGCCTCCCAGAGTATCTGGGACTACAGGCACGCACCACCACGCCCAGCTAATTTTTCTGTTTTTTAGTAGAGATGGAGTCTCATTTTGTTTCCCAGGCTGGTCTCCAACTCCTGGCCTCAAGGGATCATCCTGCCTCGGCCTCCCAAAGTGCTGGGCATACAGGTGTGAGCCACCGTGCCCGGCCCTATCTGCCAACTTCTGATATCCACTTGGCTTAGTCCCAGCTCCCAAGTGCCTTTTGCATTGGTTTTCCCTGGGCCTAGCTACTGTGCTGGGCAGACCCTGCCCCAGTCCTAGTCACCAGTCCTGCCTCCTTCCCTGCCAGAGCGCTTTACCGTCTACAGTGAGATTGATGGTCTTCTCCCCAGTGAAGGTGTCATCGGTGATGGAGATCTCGACCTCATAGGTGCCCTCATCGGCCAGCTGCAGGTCACTGAGAAGCAGGGAGCCATTTTCAAAGAGCCTGATGCGGTCTCGATAGTCGGGCCGCAGGGTGCCGATGACCTCTGTGCCGATGGACTGCACCACGGTCACTGGCTTGTCCCGCTTCAGCTGCCACTTCACTACAGGCTTATCGCTGCTGGTGCTGCTGTACTGCACAGAGAGCAGGGCCGACTTCCCCACAGTGCCATGGATCAGGCGCACTGGGCTGGTGATGTTCACCCCCTCCAGGGGTTCTGCAAAGAGAGATCCATGGGAAGAGG